TATAGATTGTGATAACAGTTGTATGAGCCCCTAATAAAATGTTTAAAAAAAAGAAAGAAAATATTCATAAAAAAAGAAAAAGAGTGGGCAGTCTCAGGAACCCACAGGGGCAGTCCTACCCTGTCCATGCATTAATATTGACGTGATGGCAGGGAGGGTGGCCCTCCACAGAAGAAAGATGTGGCTGTATGCTCCTGAGAAGACTCAGTCTTGGAAGCCCCACAGATTTGCTGTGGATTTGGTTGGCGAAGTTCTGACGGCAATGACAGATGTCCTGAGCTACTCTGTAGACGTGTGCTGAATGGGGACACCTAGTGGCAAGGGCGGCATTGCAGCCCTGCTGTATGAGGAACTGCTTTCCCCACCCATGGGTGTAAGGAAACAGGGTGCAGACCTAATTCCTGTTCTCCACCAAGGGGACTTCTGTGATCCTCAGAGCTTGAGAAGTTGGTAAGCAATTCAAGATAATGATCAAAGAATCTGGGCTCTGGAGGCAGACAGACCTGTTCATGTCCTCAGTTGGCTACTTGCCAGCTGTGAATTTGTGACTAATAGCTGTGCCCACCTCTTGGACTTGAGGTGATTTAGAGAAATGACGTCTGCGGTGCCTGATAGCTGGCAAACACTCGGGCGGCAGTAGCTGCCAGTGATACGGGCAGTTGCATCAATAATGACGCTAACAAGAAGGGTGACACTGGTGCCAGGCACTGTGCCGCATGTTTCAGGTGGGTGATCTCACTGCATCCTGATACAGCCTTTTCTTCCGTGGAGTGTTACAAATGAAGGAACGTGGGCACAGGGGGCTCAGGCCCTCTCACTGCACACCCCCCTGAGCCTGGGCTGAGGTCACTGCCCTGTGCTCTCTCTAGGCATGATGGTGGTCACGTTGCGCCTCTCCCTTTCCCTCCTCACTCCCACTTCCCACCCCCATGCAGGCAACACTGAATGGGACCCTCGAAGAGTTCAGAATGGGACTTGGGCTTGGTCACTTCCCTAACCCCCAGGGACCGTCTCTCTTGCCTCCCTCCTCAGGCCTATGAGCGGCAGATGCCACCTCGAGCCATCATCAACAGTGCAGGATACAAAATTCTCACCTCTGTGGACCAGTACCTAGAGCTTGTGGGCAACTCTTTACCAGGTAAAGGACGGCTCGTGCCAGGCTGAGATGCCCTGGGTGGGTCCTGGGAGCTGGATCGACTGGGGGACACACTAAGCTTTGAGCTCCTGGTCCTCTGTTTGCAGAGGGGCCTCGCATCGCCACCAGGCACCAAGCAAAACCCGAGGGGAGGCTGTGCCGCTCAGGCTGGGGGTTTGCCTGAGCTGCAAGCAGGGGCTGGGCCAGTGTGGACCTCCACCAGGGAGGCATGCCGCTTCCGCAGCCATGGCACAGGGATCTCCCCCCACCCCCCGGAGTTCTTAAGGGACTCCCAGCAGAAGCTTTACACACTGCCACGTGTCAGCAGGGCACTAGTGAGGAGTTATTGTAAATGCTCCGTTGCTACCTGCCCCGGCAGAGACTCCCCGGCAGCCTGATTGGGACAGCACTTGCCTCAGGTGACCCCCCCAGGGAGTGAAGGGGCAGGAGCGATGGCACTGGGGACAGGCTGCACCCCCAGAGTGAACGCTCTGAGTGGAGGGGCTCCGCTGGACGTAGAGGTTCTGGAGTCCCGTTTCCACTCCAGCTGTGCTTGTGCCATGTCTTCTTGGGCAAGGTGCCTCTCCCCTCCCACCCAAGGCCTCTCGGGGTGTCGTGCAGACTCTGTGAAGGGCTGTGTCCACCACACCCACCAGGGCCCCAGGCCGAGCTGGGCACGACGGAGAACTGTTACTGACGTTTATGAGCAGAACAGTGGCCAGGTACCCTGCTGGAACACGAATACCCCGTGTCAACACGATGAAGGATGGGGGGGGATGCTCCCTTTTTATTCAGTTTGTACCCCCAGGGCCCCCTTCCTTCGCCCCACTCGGCTGAGGGTAAAGGGGAACCCAAGAAGGTAAGGCTTGACCTTTGAACCTGTGAGGGCTCGGACCCACAGAGTTTAGATCCTTATTCAAGGGGGGAGGTGGGTGCTACACTGGATGGGAGATAAGATTCTTCACAGGCTGTGGTTTCTGAGGTTCCCTTAGCCAGGCTTGGGGGGGCACTGGATGAAAGCGGATGCTGCCTCCCCCCTGAACCGCTGGTCACCCTGGCACAGACCAGCTATTGGGAGCCTGAGCCTGCTCCCCAGAGCAGGGGCTGAGCCATCAGCTGCCTGCTGCCCCCTGGCGAAGGGGGCTTTCTGTGGACTCAATGGGCTGTCTTTACAGGGGTCACGTCAAAATCAGGGTCCACCCCCATCCTCAAGTGCCCCACCCAGTTCCCCCTCATCCTCTGGCATCCTTTTGCACGGCACTACTACTTCTGCATGATGACGGAGGCGGAGCAGGACAAGTGGCAGGCTGCCCTGCAAGACTGCATCCGACACTGCAACAATGGTGAGCAGCCGTGGGCAGGGGCGACTGGGAGGGTTACAGTGGGTATGTTAACAAGAAGGTCAGCGGTTTGAAACCACCAGCTGCTCCTCTAGGGAAAGATGAGGCTTTCTACTCCTGTAAAGAGGGACAGCTCAGAAACCCACAGGACGAGTTCTACCCGACCCTATACGGTCTCTGAATCGGAATGGAGTCGCTAGCCCTGGGTTTGAGTGAGAATATGTGTAATGGTGACCCCTCATGGCCAAACGTGGCATAGCAACCCTGCTCTGTGAACTGTTGTAATTTTCCTTCTAAGAAACCACTGGGATACCACCCTGAACCTTCTTCTTCATGAAAATGGAATTCTGTGCTGCTCAGGGGGAAGAAAAACAAAGCTTGAGAAAATTACTCCCAGAATGGTTCTAATATGTGAATCTTGGTTCTGCCACTTTAGAGCAACATGACCTCTATACAACCCACTGTAGTCGAGTTACCTATGGAGACCCTCTAGACCAGAGTGAGCCTGGGCCACGAGGAATCCTGAACAGACCTGGGGAGACTGGCTGACTCCACGCACCTCTGACATTAGGATAACAACCCTTCCTGTGTCATGGGGGAAAAGAGGGGACGGTTATGGGAAGTCACAGTGAGAGTCCACTCAACATTCAGTCAAGATTGGCCATTATACACTTTCGTTCTTCCCCCCTCCCCTCCCTTCCTTCCTCCCAAACCGCAAGGAGCCTTGGGGCCTCATTGTTCTAATCTATAGTCACAGGTCTTTGCAGCTCACACATTCATTTACTAATCATTTTTCTTGTCTACGCTTAGCCAGGCCTGGGTTTGGGCACTGAAGAGGGTGCAGGGTAGCAGGACATGGTCATGCCCTCATGTAGCTGGTGGTCAAGGGGCAGGGGGACAGATGGGGCACTGCGCAAGGTTAGTCACAGCTGGGCTGTGTGCAGGGCAAGAGCTGTCCCAGAGTCTGGAGGGTGTGTGCACGTTTGGGCCTGGTCTTGGGGGAGAGGAGTAGAGGGGAAGCGTGTTCCTCTTGGCCTTGGCCGCACACAGAGAGGAATGGTCTAGTCTAGTGGCGGAGGTCTGGTCAGGTGGGGCTCTAAGGAGTTTTGGCAATGTATTAGTCTAGGTACTTTGGAGAAACAAATCCACAGCAACTCATGTATAAGAGAGTTTTATGTAAAGAAAATGTGCATCACGAAAACATCCCAA